GTAGTAGTAGTAGAGAGAGAGAGAGAGAGAGAGAGAGGTTAAAAAAAGCTGGGTGACAGGGGGAGAAGAGACAATGAGGGAAGCAAAGTCACCTTAGTTAAAAAAATAAATAAATAGAGAGAGCAAGTTTGAAATTAATAACAAGACTAGGCCTTTTGGGGTTATTACAATGAAATCACCCTAAGTCAATCGAAGTCAAGTACACGAATCATAAAAACTCTAGGTTGTGCTTTTCAAAACTCAAAAGCACGAACGACTATGTAAAATCATTAAATATACTTCAAATATACTTCACAAACGTTATATGCAAATGGTTGTAGCTGATTGAAGCAGAAACATAGCTAATAGCTTTAAAACCAAATGGATTTCAGACATTACCTATTTATTCTTTTTGTTGAAATGAATTCAGATGTTACCTTATTGAGAATATAGAACGCACTATGGACAGGGTATTGATTAAAAAAAATTCCTTACAAAGTAATAGCCCATTTTTGTTCAATATGCACTAATGGTTATTTAAAATAAAAGAAGAGTCAAACATAATTTTATTAACCTTATTAATTATGTAGGTTTTTTTTTTTTTTTTTTTTTTAAAAAAACACAGGTAACATTTACTTCTTCATTCATTCACAAAATATCATAAGTACTTACCCAAAAAATAAAAATTATCAGGGTTTTTTTTTTAATAATGGTAACATTTACTTCTTCATTCATTCACAAAATAACAGAAGGACTTTTCCAAAAAAAAAAATGAAAATAACATCAGTACATTAACAAGATGCAGCAGCAATGCAATTTACAAAATTTGCCATCACACAATATACAACATTACAGAAAATTCCAACTATTTAAATCAATCTTTCCCCCTAACTCTGGGCCCATCTATATCACAGTTAAACACTTGCATCTAGACTGCATCTTTAGCCAAAGCATATGCTGCTGAGTTTTTCTCTCTATATACATGAAAAATTCCCTACAAAGTAATCGCCCATTTTTGTTCAATATGCACTAATGGTTATTTAAAATAAAAGAAGAGTCAAACATAATTTTATTAACCTTATAAATTATGAGGCTTTTTTTTTTTTTTTAAAAAAAAAAAAACAAAGGTAACATTTACTTCTTCATTTATTCACAAAATAACATAAGTACTTACCCAAAAACTAAAAATTATCAGGTTTTTTTTTTAATAATGGTAACATTTACTTCTTCATTCATTCACAAAATAACATAAGTACTTTTCCAAAAAAAAAAATGAAAATAACATAAGTACATCAACAAAATGCAGCAGCAATGCAATTTACAAAATTTGCCATCACACACAATATACAACATTACAGAAAATTTCAACTATTTACATTCAATCTTTCCCCCTAACTCTGGGCCCATCTATATCACAGTTAAACACTTGCATCTAGACTGCTTCTTTAGCCAAAGCATATGCTGCTGAGTTTTTCTCTCTATATAATGAACCTCTAACATCTTTATCAAGACAATGAACCATAACTTCATCCCAAAGCATCGAAGTAATCTCCATTTTCTTATTACAGCAACGAATCACATTTATGGAGTTACCCTCAAAGATCAATTTACCACCAAATTGTTCAGCCATCCCTTGCAACACTGATCTTATCTCAGCTCCATTTGCTAGATATTTAAAGGCGCACGATATCTCTTTAAAATTGTCCCAATATGGTCCCTAACTAGCCCTCCCATACCACAATATCTCTATAAAAATTGTCACATTTCCTTCGTACACTAATGAGTCACGTTCATGGAATTACCCACAATGATCCATTATCACCAATCTGCTTCTCTAATCCCTTGCAACACTGGTATCATTTCAGCCTCATTTGCTGTTAACAATACCCACAGGCCCACGGTATCTTTTTTTATGATCCGATCTCCAATCTGCTACTCTAATTGCAACACATATCTTTTTTTATGATCCTTCTTTGTACACCAATGACATTCATAGAATCACACCCACAATGATCCATTATCACCAATCTGCTTCTCTAATCCCTTGCAACACTGATATCATTTCAGCCTCATTTGCTGTTAACAATACCCATAGGCCAACAATATCTTTCTTTTTATCCGATCACCAATCTGCTACTCTAACTGCAACACTGAGATATCTTTTTTTATGATCCTTAACTGCACCTCCAATACCACCACCACCAAACTGCTACTCCAACTGCAACACTGAGATATCTTTTTTTATGATCCTTAACTGCACCTCCAATACCACCTTCTGGCAGGATTTCCCATGGAGATTCCATAAAAATTAGGAGGTTCCCCCGCCTTCTGAATGGCTAACTGCAACACTGAGATATCTGTTTTTATGATCCTTAATTGCACCTCCAATACATACCACCTTCTGCCAGGATTTCCCATGGAGATTCCATAAAAATTTATTAGGGGGTTCCCCCGCCTTCTCGATGGGTAAACACTACACGTCATCCTTATCAAGTGATGCAACTGATACATTCTATCAATCATTGCCATCTCCAAACACTCTTTCTACTAGATGCCCCATTCCGCCCCTATAGTGATCTTCCAAAGTGAATTTTCTCCACCTTTAACACTTGACAACTCCCACAATGTAACATGTACTGTAGCACCCACTTCCATCAATATCAAATTCCATATTTTCCTTATATACCCACAATGCAAAAACATATGTTCACTTTTCTCTTCAACCTTTACACAGAATACATGTATTTGTTAAAAAAATTTCCCCCTTTTTCTAAGCACATCAATGGTCAACAGCTGCTCATGCTAAGCAACCAAATAAAACATTTACTTTCATTAGTACTGGGCAACTTCCAAATTCTGATCCACCTCGTCTCTTGCCATCGTCTTCTATCATTACAGCAAGACATATGCCTAACAGTAAAAGCCCCTTTAGAATTTGGTTCTAAATGATATAATATATCTTTTCCTTGGACAGTAATAGAACTATTTACACATCTGCAAAGACCTAACCATCTCTTCACCAAACCAGTTGTATCTGCAAGTAATATTCCAGTTGTATCTCTTCACCAAACCAGTTGTATCTTTCATATTCGAATTTTATGAAGTCACTTTTACAAACGAAGTTGGGAATTGTACCTTCAGAGATATGTTCCCCACCCATTTCTGTTGCTAGAGAATCTGGTTTGTTCACCATCTCCCGTCGACACTCTCATGTTCCTTAAAAATACTTCATTCTCTGTAACAATCCCCTTCCAAATCTGAGTAAAGCCGTTGTTGTTTAAGCTCTCAGCTACCATATCTGCCATCGGTATTTCCCACATTTCTCTAAGTAAAGCACTATTCATTAACCTCAACCTTTTTACATCCATTCCACCAAGCCAACAAACAGAAATTCTTTAGAGGGGACTTAGCAAGGATAAAATTTTAGCTTTCCATAAGTCAAGTTTAAACTGCACACTTGGAACACAGGGTCCCATATAGATCTAGAAGCCCTTGACATAACAGAAAACTTCCCTACACCACATCTAAGAACTGCAGCAATTTTTCCTACTCTTCATCATTCCAACACACCCTGATAAGGTTGGTCTTGTTCCAATTCATTCTAAGACTACAACCACCTCAAAACAACACAAGAATCTCCCTCAAAGTTATTATTTCACACTCTTGTGCACTACAAAAGGTTAGTGTGTCTTCTGCATACCAAAAATGTAATATCTGGCTTCCTCTATCACTCACTTTAAATCCCTTCAACAGTCCAACCTCCACCAACTCTCTAAGCATCACACTACATGTCTCGGCCATATTAAGGTATAAACAAAAAGGCGATAGTGGATCACCTTGTCTTACACGCTTGTTTCTTTGAAAAAGC